GGTGCTGCGGGGTGCCTCCTCAGGGCCCTCCTCCCGAAAAGAGGGAGGCTATATTGCCTGGGGGGCCCCTTCTCCACAACCATCCTTTCCTGGGCCAGGACTGAACCCTCCCCGCAGCCCTGGGGGCTTGACGCTAAAGAACGTTTTCTGCAACCACAGAGAGAGCCCATTTCTCAGCCGAAGCGGAAGCGTCCTGGCTTCTCCAGGAGAGTCCGGGCCTCCTCTGGAGCCATGTGGGCCGCAGGATGGGGGCCCTGGGGCTCTCAGCTCTGGGTCAGCAGCTGCCGCCTCGGCTGCCCGCCTGGGACCAGAGCACTCGACCAAAGACAAAAGCGTCACCCGCCCCCAGCCCTGGCTGTGTGACCAGATCTGGGGTACTCTTTGGGGCTGTGGAGAGCGTCCCTGAACTGCTCCCCACCTGTGTTCGCTTCCAGGGAGGTGGCCCCGGCCCCACCTGCTTCTCCTTCCCTGACTCGGGACTGTAGTTTCTGTCCTCACCTGCCCTGCCTCCCTCGCCTCCCTCCCCAAGAGGAGAAGCCGGGCCTGCCTTCTGATTGTTTCCTGTGTCTGCGGACACCGCCTTCCGTCCGGTGGACTCCTGGACTGTTGCGGTGCATATTCAAATCCGTCCTTTCAAAGGTGGCTCGGGACGGGTTGTCACCGCCTTCCACTCGTGCTGCTTATGACCTTGTCGAGAGCTCAGGCGGGTGGGAGAGTCTCCCCCAGGGCTCCTGCTCCAGAGCCCTGCCTCTGGCTCCCTCCTCCATCCCCAGAGCTGGTCAACCACTGACCTGTGTCTCGTAGGAAAATAGTCGATTGCAGAAGGAGATGATTGAAGTTGTGGAGAAGCTCTCAGACTCAGAGAAGCTAGTCCTGAAGCTGCAGAATGACCTGGAGTTTGTGTGGAAGGACAAGGCAAGTCCTCTTGCTGACTCTGAGTCCCCAGAGAAGCGCCTGTGCATGCTGGGTAAAGGGCATCAGGGTCTTGATGGAGAATACACAGGAGACGGAATTGGGTTTTTCTGCTAAACTTCCATGTGCTGCTCAGTCACTCAGGTGTGTCTGGATATTTGTGACCGCATGGGCTGTAGCCTGCCAGCCTCCTCCATCCATGGAATTTTTCAGGCATGGATTCTGGAGTGGGTGCCATTTCCTACTCCAGGGGATCTTCCCGATCCAGGGATTGAACATGCATCTCTTGCATCTCCTACATTGGCAGGAGGATTCTTTAGCACTAGTGCCACCTGGGAAACCTAGAATTCTGTAATGGAGAGGAAATTATTAAGGCTACTTTGCCTGTATTTTCCTCCCCTTCAGGCAGTGCAGGGGTGCAGGTGACATCCCAGTGATGCCCTGCATGTTGACCTTCTATTGACAAGACCTGGACCGGTCAGCAACTTCTGCACAGACCCCATTATTGGGGTCTTGGGAGTGGGGGGCATAGAGGAGTGCTTACAGACCTGGCCCTTTCCATCACCTTGAGGGGAGGACTGAGGGGAGGAAGTGCAGGTTCCGTGCAAGGGGCCTCCCAAGTGGCCGAGGCAAGAAGGCAGCCCAGGGTCCAGGTGGGAGCATGACCACCTTCCTGAAACTCCGAACATCCTTCTGCCCTGAGACCTTTTAAACAAAGGGTATGGAGGAAGAGGAGGGACAGGTGGCTGCAGCTGCAGATGCTGAGTGTGTTGGGGCAGTACGAGGGGGAGACAGCCCACGCTGTACCTGGCCTGAGGTCCTGGCCCTCATTTTCCTGCCTGCCCCTGTCTTTCAGCTGGAGCCAGAGAGCACAGAACTCCTGGCCCAGGAGGAGCGATTCTCAGAGATCCTGAAGGAATACGAGCTTAAGTGACCCCCTGCCTGAGTTAATGTCAGGGGCTGTCTGCTCAGGACTGGTGGCCCCTTCCACCTCCTGGCCTGCACGTGGAGGGGGGCCCAGCCCGGCTCCACAAGGGCATCCCTACCTGAGCCGAGTGGGCATAGCCTCTGACACGGGCTTCCTCCTTCAATTGAGGTCTTCTGAGCCTCGTGTTTTTGTTTTTTTCAATTTTTTTTGGCTGTGTTGCGTGGCTTGTGGTATCTTAGTTTCCCGACCAGGGATCAAACCCACACCCTTGGCAGTGAAAGCTTGGAGTCCTCAATACTGGACTGCTGTGGAATTTCCTGAGCCTCATGTTCTGCAAAGAGGCAGTTGGGACTTTGCCTGCCCAGCACCTGTGCCTGGCCCCACACGGGCTGCTCACCCCAGTCCCAAGGCTCCGTGTGTGTCCGGGCACCATGTAGGGCTTCATCTTCTTTCCTGTGGTTGAGTGTATGTGTTTCCTGGGCCAAAGCTACACGTGAGCCCACTCAGCTGGCATTGCCACCATGCAGAGCAGGGTGTAGGTGGTGAACAGTCCCTGCTGGGAAACATCACACTCTTACTCCCTGGAGACTGTCCAGGACTCTGGCAGATTAACATGATGTTTGGGGTTAAGGGTCTAATATTCACTTGCTTCTTAATGGTTTCCCTCCCGATTAATGTAAGAACTGTCTCTCTGCACGTGATGCTTTGGCCACACCAGAGGATAAAGGGGAGCCCATGCTGGTCTGCAGTGTGACGTGACCCCTGCCTCCTGCCCGCCACACCCCGAATCCCGGTGCCCCTGCAGTCCTGTGTATGCTCACCTGTGTAACCCTTATCAGAGACCGAGTGGTGTGGGGGGTTTGTGGTTAACTTTCTGGAAGGAACTCTCCTTCCTGCTGTGTTTTCTCCCCCGACTTGGAGCACCTGTGACTAACCAGCAGTTAATACATTGCTTTAGTGCACCTGAATCTTTTCATACAGGTGTAACCCCCTTTGTTTTTTTCAGATGACTGTCACCTAACTGTTGCTACTCATTTCACTTTTGATTCTTGAAATTTTATGTTTTGAAATTTTGGCAAAACAATTTTACATTTTAGTGCTACTTATTTAGAGATTTTCCCTCTTTTGGGGGAATATTTTTGTCTGTTTCAAGCTAGCATTGAGAACGTTAAAATATTTTTTTTTTATTTGAGAATAATTTTTAATACACAGCAGGCAAATGTCTGGGCAGCCAGCCCCTCTGTGTGTGCTGACTCAGCCTGGCTGGCCCCGCCTTCCTCTCCAGTGCTTTCTGAGCTGCTGTTGAAACCCCACCCTCTCCTGCTTTCTTGCTGAGCTCACCTCTTCTGCTAAAGCTAACCAGAAGAGAAGCCTCGAAGGTTCCAGAGCCCTCAGACCTAGGGCTTCGCTGTGTGCAGTGGTCTTGCTGCCTTTTTCGGCTCTTGGGGTAGCACCGTGTGACTGCTTTCAGCATCCACAGGCACCCCAAATTCACATGCGGCCCACACCAAAGCAGGCACCCGGCTCCCCAGCCCTGCTGGATGCAGCGTGGATGGGCAGGCTGGGACCCAGGACAGTACATGTCATCCTTAGGCGCTTAGAACAGAGAAGTCTGCCTAGCATATTACCTTAAGGACCTGTTTTCTGGCTCTGCTGAATTTGTGGGGCATGTCTATGGTCTTACAGTAGCCATTTGAGGGGTAGAAGGAACCACTGAAGGGACAGGGCATTGAGTAAAAATGATTCTGTTGATGTTTCCACCATATCAGCACTGCTCAGTAAAAATAACAGTCACGTGTGTGCTTCCAAGTTTTCCAGTGGTCATGTTAAAAAAGGTAAAAAGAAAAAGGTAAAAAGAAATAGGTGACATTCATTTTAATAACATTTTATTTAGTCCATTACTTTCACAGTGTCATCATTTGAACATGTAATCAATATAATCACATTTTAAGTGAGAGATTTTGTATCCCTCTTTGGGAACCCGGTCTTTAAGATCATTGTAGAGTATATGGTGCACACCTCAATCCAGACTGACCATGTCAGAGATGCTCGGTGGCCTGTGTGGTGTCATTGTGGGGCGGGGCGCATACACCCGCCACCCCACGGGCCTCCCTGCAGCTCTTGCTTCCTGGCCTTGCCCTTTCCCCTGGGACAGAAGTGCTCACTCTGGGGAGATTGCCTGTTTGCTCAGGAGTTTCTGAAGGAGGTTCAGTGACGCTAGTAAACATGCGCTTCCTCTAAGATCTGCAGGGCCTGTCCCTTCTCCCACATGGCCTAGAGCTGTGGGTTAGAGGATCCTCCTCCCAGGGCAGGTGTGGACACCAGCCAGACACTGGCCTCCAGGGAGTTCAGAAAGAACTGACAAGACCTGCCTGCAGAGGAAAATCAGATTAAAAAATCAGAGAGGAGAGGAGGGACTGCCCTGGTGGCCCAGTGGTTAAGACTGCACTCCCGATGCAGGGGGCACTGGTGTGGATCCCTGGTTGGGGAGCTAGGATCCTGCAGACTGCATGGCACAGCCCCCGAAAATGGAAAATTAGAGACGGAGGTGGGGTCTTGACGCTGTGTGTGGCGTTGGCTGCTTTGGCCTCCCCCAGAGCCAGGGTACCGGGGGAGGAGCCAGCTGGAAGCGGCATCGCATGCGGCGTCCTCCAAGTGGGGTGACCACGGCCCACCCGAGGCGGGGGGAGGAGCACGTGGACCGACCGTCATGGGCACACGTGGTGCTTGGGTCGAGGGACCACATGGGAGAGTGGACTGGGAATGCTGCCCTTCCTGGTCCTCTCCAGGACAGGTACCAAGTGGGCTTGCTGAGTTACCTTTCATTGTTTGGGTGGATAAGTGATGCTTGTTACAGACGCGACCCTTCCTCTTTTATTTTTCCCTCTGTGCTATGCAGCTTGTAGGATCTTAGTTCCCTAACCAGGGAGCAGGCCCACGTCCCCTGCAGGGAAAGCACTCAGTCCTAACCGCTGCACCACCAGGAAGGTCCCAGAGACCCTTCCTATTAAGCCTCATGTCCCCCCAAATCTCCCCTACCCCTTATGAGCATACTCCCCTAACCTCTTGTGGTTTCAGGTGTTAAAAGATCTCTGTGTTTTCTCCATTTCTCATTTTCACTGCAGTTTTTCCCCCCTGAGTCCCTTCTGTGTGTCCAGTGATGGAAGGTGGTGCCAGACATAAGAAGTTGGGAAATGACTCCTGCTCGTTGTTGCTCCCGGAGCAGTTCGGATCTAATGTCGGTTCCCTGTCAGGACCCGCTGTGCTGGGGCCTGAACTGTTCCCCGGGTGCCGGTTCCATGCCCTGCTCCTGGGCCTGGTGGCCGCAGTGGCTGGAGGAAGTGTCTGGCTCTGCCCACAGGACCTGCAGGACTACAACGGTGAGCTGCAGGCTGCCCTGCAAGGCCTGCAGGCACAGATGGCCCCGAGCCTGCACAGCCACCTGCCCCTGGGACTCGGCCTGGCAGGTAGGCACTGGGTGCTTGGAGGTGGTGCGTCTGTTGGGAGGTGGTGGGTCACGTGCTCCTGCCCCGGGGACGGGGCGGTGGGCCAGCCCGCTGCGCAGGGGTCACAAGTCCTTTGGGCCACTTGTGTGGGAGAAGGGTCCTATCTGAGGCCAGGGGTTTAGGCAACACAGAGCCCCAAGGAAGATGGAGGAGGGTGAAGGTCCTATTGCTTTGACAGAGTAAGTGATGAAGGTTATGATGACCTTGCTGTGACCTCAGGGAAGGTGTGTCCCCTGTGAGCCTCCTAAGGCAGCAGGGACAGAAGGAGACGCCCCTGGGGAAGGTCATCTGGGGAGGGGAGCCGAGAGCGGGCTGGGGGTGATGGGGGACGGCCTGTGATGGCTCTGACAAGGGCTGCCCACATCAGCTGTCCTCGGGGCCTCCGAGGGAAGCCGGGTGGGTCTTCTGTGCACCTGGCCTCTAAGGGAGGCCCTCACCTGCACCTGCAGCCGTGGACTCTGCTGGGACCCGAGCCACAGCCCTGCTCCTCAGCTAGGGGTGGTTGGCGTGTGGCTGCTGTCATCGCATTCCTTGATGAGTATCAGCGGCCCATGTGGCCACAGGGAAGGGGGCGATGGTCTTTATCCCTCGACGGGCCTGAGCTGCAAGGAGTTTGTGGCCCCTGTTGAGAGCCAGGACCTGCGCCCTGGATACAGTGGCCAGAAGGCTGTGGGTCGTATCACCAGAGGGAGCCCCGAGCTTCGTGTTGGCGCCGAAGCAGCCAGAGTGCTCTCCCGGCTGGAGACTTTTCTCTTCCCCTCGCCCCCATCTGGCCTCGGAGCGTCTATCAGCCCCTTCTAAGGAGGAGGGGTGGCCGGGACAGCAGCGCTGTGGTGCAGGGGTCACGTGGATGGTGGAGAACGGACTGGCCGTGCATCCAATCGGGGCCACTCCTGACCCATGAGGCAGCTTCCTGTTGTCAGGGCGATGGGATGTTCTCTTTCTTCAGATGCTTATCCCAAGTTCTCTCGGCCTGATGTTGCCGAGTCTATCCCTGTTTTTCATGGAAAACATTTTGGGAATTGAAAAATGCAGGCAAGAGGTCAGCATGTGTCTGCTCCCTTCACTTTCCAGCCCATCAACTGGCATGGATGAAACCTCAGCGGTGGCCACACTCACATTCTGAATCAAGCCTTGAGTGTGCCCCCACCATGCATGGCGTGGGGGACACATGGGCCCAGGAGGCCTGGTCGTGCTGTGGGTCCACGAGCACCCCTTTGCAATGAGCTGTAAGGGTGGGTGATGTTGTTGGTGGGGAGGATCTTCAGGACCAGGTGTAGCTCCCACCCCCTCCCTATGATCCGTCGGACCCTGAGTCCATGACAGCTTAGTTTGCGTGACATTTTCCTTGAGACCCCTCATGCTTTATGTGATGTAACAGTGAGCAGCAAGGGCCTCTGAAAAAAGGAGGAAGCTAAAATAAAGCTGGAAGACATGGCTTTGTCACGCCTCGTCCTGCAGTGCTGTCTGAGCCCTGGTCACGTTTTCCTGTTGTCCCCGCCCCTCTGTGTGCTTGCCGTGGTCAAAGGGGCAGGCATGTGCCCCACAGAGCCTGAGAGATCTGGCAGGAGGCCTCCTCCTTGTTTCTACCTTTGAGTGACCTGTGTTCTGGCAAGGACTCGAAATGCTGACCTGTGAAAGTGCCAACTTTGAGAACTTGGCAGAGCAGACGGGCCCTGGCCCGTGGCCTCTGAGCACCAGTGCCACCTTCCTCTTGCAGAAAGGGCCCACAGAAGGCGGTGCTTCCTGCAGGGTCGGCTTGGAGGTTGGATCAGATCCAGTGGTGTCCTGGGCATAACATCAATGGACATGTCCTCTTATTTTCAGGCACTGTCACGTTTGTGGGTGATTCCACCCCAGCGAGTATAGATCCAGAGATCATGCTGGAGCAGCTGAAGGAGCATTACCAAGAACTGAGGATCCAGCTGGAGACCCAGGTGAGGGGACTGAGGGAGGCCACAGAGGTCGGGGAACTTCCTGCTGCTGAGACGCGTCTGCGCATACGTGTGCCCATAGTGAGTGCGCTCAGGGGGACGGGGGTTTGTAGGGAATGTGCGTGACCTTGACTTTCTGCCTCCACCCCATTTGGAAGGAGGGAGTTCAGAAGGAATAGCTAATAATGGGAGGGAAGAGTCCCTCCCCGTGTTCGGAGGCTGGTGCAGAGGCCAGAACTCCCTGTTTGCCCTGCACTGGGAAGTCACAGCCCCCGGCTCTGTTGCAGCTGAAGCAGATTCTGGGAGCAGAATCTTAGTTCCTAGGATTGCCCTGCACCAGGGGTTCCCCAGGTGGCGCTAGTGGAGAAGAGGAGATATGTCGCCAAGACAGGAGACATAAAAGATGCAGGTTCGATCCCTGAGTCGGGAAGATCCCCTGGAGGAGAGCATGGCAACCACTCCAGCCTTCTTACCTGGAGGATCCCATGGACAAAGGAGCCTGGTGGGCTTCAGTCCACAGGGTCACACAGAGTCAGACACGACTGAAGTGACTTGGCACGCAGGGGCTCCTAGGCCTCCCTGGCCAAGCCTGTCTTTTCGGGTGAATGTGTCTCTTGCTCTGTTACTCGATTGTGGGGCGTTTGTGGAGGGATGGTGCCCACGGCTGGTCAGGGGTCACCATGGCCACGGGGCGGTCCTGCCCCTGGGTTCCTGCTGTGGCCTTGCCTTCCAGGCCTCGTGGAGGTGTTATTCCTTCTTGGCCTCCTCCTGCAGCTGCCTGCCGGGCCACCAGCCTCCCTTCTGCACCTGCAGGGCCTCTCCCCAAGGCTGCAGCGATGGTTACAGGAAGTGACGGAAGCAGGTGGGGACAACAAGCCGTGGGGGGCCTTTCACAGACCCCGGTGCCCTGTTGAAGCTGGGCCACCTGTTGTTTTGGTGCTGCCCCGGCAGCCTTGATCCTTCAAGTGGATGGTGTCTGGGGGCCCCGGTTGACATCATCCTCCTCTCTCCTCAGGTTAGTGACCACGAGAGGGAGATGGAGGTGATGAAAAGGGCCTTTGCAGAGGAGAGGAGGCAGCTGGAGTGGGGCTTCCAGCTCGAGGTTGGCGTGCTTCAGGGTCAGAAGGCCGAGCTGGTGACGCTGCACGCGGAGTCATAGAAGGTCATCTGAGGCCTGCGGGAGCAGCTGCAGAGGAGGGCGGAGCTGGAGCAGGGCCACGCATGGCAGCTGGGCCAGGAGAGGGCGCTCCAGCGGCTCAGGTCCGCCACCCTTGCCATGCGGGGTCTCACGTCCAGGGTTCGTTGCCAAGAACCCGGATCTGAAATTGAATTTGAGCAGATGGCTCAGAGTCACAAGTACTCATTACCTGATTGGTGAGCCCTGAAAGAACAGGTTATTTTACAAAGGTTCTGAGTTTTCTTTCTGCTGCACTGTGCGCATGGCATGAGAGACCTTGGTTCCCTCACCAGGGATCGAACTTGTGCCCTTGTGGTGGATGCAGGAAGCCTCACCACTGGACTGCCAGGGATGTCCCAAAGAGTCTGACTTTAAAAATATGGAGTCTCTCATCTGTCATCTCATGACTCCTGGGGAGGTGGATAAAAGGCCTAAATGCCCCCAAATATTGGGAAAGGCCTTTAGTTTGGGTTAGTGGAGTCTTGAAAGAAACTGAGGTTTGTGAGCAAAGGAGAGAAGAGGTTTTTTTGCCGAACTGGAGCATGATCTTCTGTGCTAGAGAAGAAGGGCCCACACGCCCATCCTCTGGGCCCCACCAGGAAGCTGGGGGCTGGAGACGCCTGAGGGGAGGCTAAAGGTGGGGAGGCCTCTGTGATCGGGTGATGGGAGCACTCAGGTGTGCAGCCAGGCCCTCCTCCCCGGCCCCCGTGGGGCTCAGGCCGGCACCCACTCCGTCTCAGGAGCCCAGGACTCTAGAAGGTCTTTCCAGGAGCGTCACAGCAGCACACAGGAGATGACCCGGGTGACTGCAAGCAGACACAGCTGTGTGTTTTGGTTGCGGCTCTATGCACTGTGTCTTTTGGCCCTGTGAGCACCCACACAGCACTCCCACAAACTCCCCACGTCCTGTGGAGACAGAGGCTTCGTGAGGTGTTGTGTCCCTTTTCTGGGCAGAGGACACTGGCCCACCGCACATGCAGGTGTGTCCAGGTGAGGCACCAGCTCCTGCCTGCTAGGTGACCATCACACATTGCTTCACCGGTAAACAGATCATGTGGGATTTATGATAAGCCAAGGAATAAATGTCAGTGCACCTCCAAGCTTGAGAAAGGAAATACTAGCATAGCCAGGAGCCCCAGGCTCTTTTCCCAGGCACCCCTCCCTTCTCCCCAAGGCATCTGGACTGTTTATCACCCTTTAGACCTGCTCTAGGCCTCTACCTCAGACTCAGGGGTCCCCCAACAACATGGAGCCTTGGTCGTGGTGGGCTGACTTCTGAATTCCCTGCTCTATGAAGCAGAGGTGGTGCTGGGCTTCACAAGTGGCACGGAGCCTCAGGTGAACGTGTGGACCCACTGTTACTATTGTGGCTGCGATCAAAGGCTGGTCTCGGGCCCAGTGGACCTGCGAGTCCACATCAGGCCCCAGGCACACTCGGGGGCCTTCAGTGTGCGAGCAACCCAGCAGCCACACGCCCTCTCTGCCGTCTGTCTCGGGCACTTCATGTGGAAGGTACAGGAACCCAGTGCTCTCCTAGTGCTCCACACCACCCCCCTCCCCCCACCCCCGACCCAGGCCCTGCGGGCTGTCCTGGTCCTCTCTGCTTCTCCTGACTCATGGCACGCCTTGGCTTGTTGGCCCCACAGCTAACGTCTTGGTTCCCATCTCAGTGGTGTCTGGATCATTGGACGGGGTTTCCTGGGCACCTGCCACATGCTGTCACAGCTGGGGCTGCAGCTGGGACTGAGACAGGTGTTTGCAGCTTTCAGTCCCAGGGGGTGGGTGAAGAAGGCTGCATTCTCTGGCATCTGTAAACCCTTGTTACAGGCCTGTTCAGATCTTATGTTTCCTCCTGGGTCTGTCCTGGTAGATTGCTTCAAGGCGTTTGGACATGGTTGTTTTTCAAAACTCCAGACCAGGCGTTTTACTGAATGGTCCTCAGCTTGGATGCCTGGTTAGATGCCTTCTTTAGGGACCATCTTCTTCACTCTAATGTGTGGTCTTTCGTGAAAGTGTCTTTGGAGGACATTCTGTCAGTTTTTGTGTATCTGAAAATGTCTCAGATTTTCTCCTATTTCTGAAGGCCGGTCTTCCTAGGAGCACAGACCTTGATGCGCATTTGAAGGCTGCCCTTTGCCCTCTGACCTGGGCAGGCTGCTCTGAGTGAGCATCCATTTTCCATTGGCTGTGGAGATGAATTACCAAGAAGTCAGAGGCTTAAAGCATCACAACTTAGGATTTCACGGTGTTTGAGCCGGAAATCAGAAGTGGGTATGACTGGGCGGGGATCTCAGTGTTGGCAGCTGCCTTGCTTTCTGGAAGCTTGGGAGGAAATCTGCAGACCTCCCATTTTTCATCCACACCTTCCTCCTCTAAGGCTAGCAGTGACTGGTTGGTCCTCCTTGCACTCCATCCTGACTTCCCGTCTTCTGCCTGCTCTTCCACAGAGGAGGGCCCTAGTGGACAGTCTAGGACACTCTTTCCATCTAAGGGCAGTGAATTAGCAGCTTTCATTCTGTTTGTTGCATTGATTCCCCTTTGCTGTGAAATAGCACATTTGCAGCTTCTAGATGCAGATGTCTTTTAGAAGCTGTTTTTCTGTCCCCACAGGAGGTGACCTGAGTTGTGTCCTCTGGTTGCTATTAGCTTCTCCATCTTTTGTGGTTTTTCTTTGGTGTGTTTAGGTGTCTATTTCTTTCATTTTAACTTTTTATTCAAGTGTTAGATGCACACACACAAAAACTCACACATGTATGCATGCAACTGGAAGAATTGTTGATGAATTGGGTACATTTGTGTCACCAGCACCCAGAACACGTCCCCCAGGGTTACTATTGCAAGTCGCGTAGTGGTAACCCCTGGGGGAGCTCTGGGGAACCGCATTTTTTGTTCTCGATGCTGTTATACCTAAGAATGGAATTGTTGACTCTGAGACCACAGATGCGGTTTTCTTTTTACTTACCATACTTTGAAATATCATGGCTGTTGAATATATAGATTTGTGTCCTATGAAAATCTTTCAGACATTCTTTGTAAAATATTGCCTCTCCCCTCAGTGGCCTTTTCAGTTGGAGGTATGATATTAGATCTTTTCACTTTTCCTCCTTTTCTTAACCTCTCTTTCATTTCTTCCATCTTCTTTTCTGTGCATGGCACTTGATGGGTACTTTTTCATATCTCTGCATTCCAGGTCAGTGATTCTTTCTTCAGCTATATCTGATCTACCAGTGAGCTTTTATTTTGACTTTTTTTTTTTCATTTTCAAACATTCTATTTAGTCCTGATTGATTGTTTCTGATAGCTTCTTATTGCTCGCTCGTCCACTTTTTTTTCCATCTTTTATTTAAGTAAACATTTAATAATATTTATCCGAAGTTTGTGTCTGATACTTCCAATATCTGGGATCTAATTCTGTTGTTTTTCCTTCTTCTGACTCTCATAAGTGGTCCTTCCCACATATGTTGTGGTGACCTTTGTGACCTCATGCTTACATGATGTTTATCGCTGGGAATCCCGAGAGCTGTAGAAGAGGGTTCTCCCTGCAGAACAGATGTGTTTTGCTTTTGCCAAGAAGACTTGGGAGCCTCTTAATGAGACCACTTTAACTTCTTCCACGGAACCAGCCCGCCACATGTGGCCCTGGTGTGGTTTCTCCACACTGAGGTAGGTGTTGGCCTCAGGGTAAGCCCATCTTTGTGTTGCTTAATGCTCACAGCTTTGGTTTCAGCATTCAGGTTTTTGTTTACGGGCTCCTGGAGGTTTCTATAGCCTTCTGTGAGGACACCAGATGTTAGATGATCAGCTTTGCACAGGCTCTGAGTAGTTGGTGCATGTGAAAGACTGAGATGAGGCAACTACCATCTTATTCAAGGTCCAGGAAACTGGAAACAGAACCCCTCCTGCCTGCCACCCACACACACACACACCCCTACCTTTGAATCAATTTTGTTTTCCATCCAGGAGCCTGAATGACAGTTCAAAACACAGACCTCATTTCTGATCACTCTCTTCCTTGAAACACTTCACTTCTTTTAAATTTCCATGACTTCTATGTCTTCATTTTTCTCTTTAGTTCCTCATGAGAAAAATGAAATCATACTTACTCTTGTGAAGGAGATACTTATGCTTGATATTCTAAGAATAATACATTAAACATATGAAGTCATGTGCTTTGAGTTCTTTTAGACTGAAAAACCTAGAAGCTAATGCCAGGTAGAGGCCTGATGTTTAGGGGCATAAATGTCAGTGAGACCAATATATATTAAGGATAGATTTTCTGGGCAGCAGGAATGGGTTTAAAGGTGCCTCCCCGTGATCCTTATTGGTCAGTTGCTCATCTGTTGCACATCAATGGAGTTACCTTCTAGGGAGACTGAGAGCGTTGGAAGTCTGGGGCTCCAGGCAGACTTGGCCCAGGCAGCCTCTGTCAGTACTTGCTTTCCTCTCCTGAAGGTTCCACATTGCATCAGATCACCGTCCATCTGCTGATGCGGGCATCTTTCCAATTTCCTCCAGTGCTGACCTCAGGGTGTAGGATAGGGGGAACTCTCCCCATAGGATTCAGCTTCCTGAGTCCTTGTGTTCCTCAGCTTTGTGCTCGGGGTCTCTGGGTGGGATTTCCTTGCAACAACCTCCTGAGGACTCTCACCCAGCATCTTGCATTGGTGCCAGCTGTGAGCACACTGACATTTCAGTGAAGGTAAGGAGATGCAGGAATGGGCCAGCTGTAAACACAGAGAACCAAGGTGCCAAATACGCTAGTCAGTGGCTCTTTTAGGAGTTAAGAAAGCTTTGCTTTTCTGTAGCTTATCTCTTGAGAGATGCAAACTAGAGCAGGTTAACACTGGATGCAGGGAAGGAACTGGTCGCTGTGTCCCCATCCAGGGAAGGAGAGTGTGGCTGGGGGTCATTGCAAGACCAGACTCTGTCGGGTGACCAGCTCCTTGAATTCCCACTCTTCTTTCTTTTTAAAATTTCTCATCCAGAATCGAGTTGGAAAAGCTTTCCGAAGAAAACACGCTTTTGAAAAATGAGCTGGGGAGAATCTGACAAGAGCCTGAAGCTTCAGAAAGGACGGAGGCTGCACATACGCAACGGCCGGCTCAGTGGTCCCACCCCAACCACCCATCCCAGACGCGGTTTGCTCATCGTAGAAGAAGCTCAGAAGGCATTACTGTAGAAAGTGGGACGTGTTCACAGATAACCCACATTCCAGGAACAGTCAGCAGAGAACTGTGCTGTCCTCCGACCCTCCTTGATGGGCATGGGAGGGCTCAGGCGTCCTACAGAAATACTGCACAGCGTGCTCCAGGGTCGGAAGAGGCATCCTGCATTCCTGTAGGGCAAGAGGGCCTCTCACAGCCTTCCTGGGCCAGTGGAATCGGTTTGTTCTTCTCCTGATAGTGGTTTCAGCTGTGCTTCTGTCCAAGGTTCAGTCCTGGTCTGTGGATTTCAGAGTGTCAGAGTCAGGGGTCTAGGGCAGGGGCCTGAGCACTGAGGCAGGAGTTGTGTGTATTGTGGAAGGACACCTGCCGGTGGATTTCAGCTTTCACCATGAGCGCCTCATCTAAGAAGGGTTTGGCTTTTTTTTTTTTTTTAATAAAGTTCAAATGAGCTCAGGTCTAAACTGTTGAGAATGTGCTATCGATTTGATAAAACTGTCTGACGATTAAAGTGTTGAATCCAGAGTGGATTGTCCAGTTTTCCCCAGTGGTCACGTTTTGTGAAACTTTCGTATAGTGTCTGTGTTAGTTTGCTAGGGCTGCGATAGCAAACCACCACAGACTGAGGGGCTTATACAACAGAAATTTATTTCCTCACAGTTCTCAGAGTTAAAAGTTCAAGGTCAGGGCAGGGCTGGTTTCTTCTGAGGCCCCTCTGTTTGGTTTGTATACAACTGTCCTCTCCTGGTCATCCTTCAGATGTGTCTGTGTCATCATCTTTTATTAGGGCACCATCATACTGGATTCATACGACCTCGTTTTACCTTAATCAGCTCTTTCAAGACCCCATCTCCAACTGCAGTCCCTCTGTACAGTACTCCAGTACAGTCTTGGAGGTTTGGGCTTCAGCATGTGAATTGGGGTATGAGGGGGCACCAATCAGCCCTTAAAGAGCACCACAGCCAAGCTATTGACATTGATGCACTCTGTATGTCTTACTTCCCCAGTTTTGCGGGGGGGGGGGTGTTCTTTTCTTGGGGGAGTGTTTCATTGTCCCATGACTTGTGGCATCTTAGTTCCCCAATCAGGGATGGAACCCCAGTGTCCTGCCTCGGAAGGCATATTCTTAACCATGGGACCACCCAGAAAGGCCACATGCTTCCACAGCTTTACTTCTGTACTCATGTGGGTGTCAGGTCTATACGGTTTTATTCCCTGTGCAGGTTCATATCTCCACAACCAGTGTTGCAGCTCCACAAGGTCTTTCATATTGTTTATTCACGACGACATCCGCCATCTGTCTTCCTGCCCACCTACCCCAGCCTCAACCCCTGAAAAGCACTAACTGCCCTTCATTTCCAAAATTGTGTTGTTACACAAGTGACACAAAAGGAATCATACAGAATGAGATCTTTGGGATTGCCTTTCCTCACATAGCATGATTCCCTGCCATGTGTCCACAGTTTCTTCCTGTCACTGGATGGTATTCCAAGGCGTTAATGTCCCACAGCTTGTCTTCAGTTCAGTTCAGTTGCTCAGTTGTGTCTGACTCTTTGCAACCCCGTGGACTGCAGCACATCAGGCTTCCCTGTCGATCATCAACTCCCAGAGCTTGCTCAAACTCATGTCCATTGAATCGGTGATGCCATCCAACCATCTCATCCTCCGTCATCTCCTTCTCCTGCATTCAGTCTTTCCCAGCATCAGGGTCTTTTCCAGTGAGTCAATTCTTCACACCAGGCAGCCAAACTATTGGAGCTTCAGCTTCAGCATCAGTCCCTCCAATGAACACCCAGGACTGATCTCTTTTATGATGGACTGGTTGGATCTCCTTGCAGTCCAAGGGACTCTCAAGAGTCTTCTCCAACACCACAGTTCAAAAGCATCAATTCTTCAGCGCTCAACTCTGTTTATGGTGCAACTCTCACATCTGTCATGACCACTGGAAAAACCACAGCTTTGACTAGACGGAACTTTGTGCACTTTTTAATATGCTGTCTAGATTGGCCTAGATATATGGTTACATAGGCCAGTATAGCTTCCTTCCAAGGAGCAAACGTCTTAATTTCATGGCTGCAGTCAGCATGTGCAGTGATTTTGAAGCCCAAGAAAATAAAGTCTTTCACTGTTTCCATTGTTTCCCCATCTATTTGCTATGAAGTGATGGGACTGGATGCCATGATCTTAGTTTTTTGAATGTTGAGTTTTAAGCCAACTTTTTCACTCTCCTCTTTCACTTTCATCAGGAGGCTCTTCAGTTCCTCTTTGCTTTCTGCCATAAGGGTGGTGTCATCTGCATATCTGAGGTTATTAATATTTCTCCCGCCAGCCTTGATTCCATCTTGTACTTCATCCAGCCTAGCATTTCATGTGATGTACTCTGCATATAAGTTAAATAATCAGGGTGACAATATACAGCCTTGATATATTCCTTTCCCAATTTAGAACCAACTTGTCTTAATGCTCCCCTTTGAAAGGATGGCTGGGCTGATACCAGTTTTGGGCTGTCACAGAAGCTGCAATGAACATTCCTAGGCAGGTGTTTGTGTGGAGGTAGGTTTTCATTTCACAGGATAAATGCCCAGGAGAGCAATTGCTGATCTGTACCGCAGTTGCATGTCTAGTTTTATATGAAATTGCCCAGCTGTTATCCAGAGCGGCTACTAACAGTTTATGTTCCTGCCAGCAGTGTATGCTAGGTCCAGTTGCCCCACATCCCTGTCCACACTGGGTGTTGTCACTCTTATTTTAGCCTCTCCAGTAGGTCAATGACCCTGAATCAGAACAGCTAGAGCGGCTCTAGTTGGTTATCCCCTTCCCCTCGCTGATTCCTGCCTGGTAGAGAAGGTTTCTCTGTGTCTTCAGAACAGTTGAGGTCCTAGTCTGCTCAGGTTCTGTACAGAATGCCACAAGCAGGAGGCTTAAACTACAGGAGTTTGTTTCCCAAGGTTCTGAAGGTGAAGATCAAGGTGGGGCTGGCTTGGTTCCCATGAGGCTCTTCCACGCTTGTGGGCAGCCCCCTCTCACTGTGTCTCCTTATAAAGTCACTGTCCTGTTGGATTAGGACTCCACCTTGTGAGCACATTTAACCTTAATGACCTGTTAGCAGCCTTGTCTCCAGACAGTGGTGACTTTGTGGACCTGGTTCTACCCACAGCAGCCACTCTGTTTAGGCCTCCAGCCTTTGACTCCTGGTGAGCTGTGATGCTCTTCACCTGTTTTTCTTTCCGGTTTCCAGAGCATTGGTTTGCCCTGTGACTTCAGTTCTCTGATGGATCTCAGAAGAGTTGTTGACTCTCAGGTACTTAGCTTTTTCTTTGTTCTTGTTGGGAGGGTGGGAGTGGCGACTTCCAAGTTCTTTCCAGGCCAGGGCAGAAATGGTGTTTTGTTTCTCATGTGGGTTTCTGCACATTCACTGTCAGGACATAGAAGCATAGTAGATTTTCAGCTGCTGACCGGTGTCCTTGCTGACTTCCCTTGGCAGTGTGGAGACAGCCGGTCCACTCCTCCTCTCCTAGGAGGCCTGGGGCCTAGCTCGAGTGGAAAAGCACTAGCGGTGCTGACCCCAGGAAGGCAACTCAGCATGTCTGACCCACTCCCGCAGCCTGCTCCTTCATGGGGCAGTCCGACTTGAAGCCAGGAATGTGTTTGCAAAGCTGGCCAAGGGCAGGAGGCTTGTTAGGCTGTGACTCTGGCATTTCCGGCCTCTGAGCAGAACTGGTGTTCTCCTGCTGGGACACCTCCCAGATGCCCTCTAAAGGCCGCTTGCAAACACTTGCAGGCTCACTGCCGCTTCTTCCCTGGAGGAGGCTTGCTCTCCCTGCATCCTGCGTGCTATGCTTCCATGTCCAGTTGAAAAGCGCTTCTGGGAGGTCTTCTCTCAGGCCATTTCCCCCAAGGCTGGGGATCAGCTAGAAGACCGACAGTCACGGGCAAAGGCAGAACCTCATGCACCCATCTGTTCCAGCCCCCTGCACCTTCCGATAGCTCTGGTGAGTCTAAGTCTTTCAGGAACCTTCTTGGCTTCCTAAGCAGCACAGCCTGTGTGAAGGGGCAGGCCCGAGCTAGGGGCAGAGTGGGCCTCTTTTTCTCCATGGTGTGCTGGGGCTGCTAGGCGAGCAAGGGCTTGAACATCCAGCCAGTTGCTCTTCCCATCGCACTGACAGAGCCCCCACGGCTGTAGACCTTGCAATGTGTAGACACCCCGTCCGCACCTCCTCTCCAAGGAGACCCAGGGCCTAGCCCGAGTGGAAAGGCAAGAGCGGAGTTGACCCCAGGAAGGCCCCCCAGGCATGTCTGACACACTCTCAGAGGCTGCTCCTTCAGGGGGCAGTAGTACAACTTGAAGCCGGGAATGTCTTTGCAAGGCTGGCCAAGGGCAGGAGGCAAGCTGGGCTCTGACTCTGGCATTTCGGTCATCTCAGCATAACTGGCATTCTCCCACCGGCACACCTCCCCAGTGCCTTCCAAAGGCCAGCTTGCAAACACGCGCCGGCTGGGTGCCGCTTCTTCCCTGGAGGAAGCTCACTTTCCCTCCATCCTGCGCACTCTGCTTCCAGGCCCAGGAGAAAAGCGCTTCGGGGAGGTCTTATCTCAGGGCTCTTTCCCCTCAGCCTGAGGACCAGCTAGGGGACCCACACTCACAGGCCAAGGCAGAACCACACGCACACATCTGTTCCAGCCCCCTGCACCTTCCCAGAGCTCTGCTGAGCCTACGTCTGTCAGCTACCTCCTTGGCTCCCCCAGCAGCACAGCCTTGTGTGAAAGGGCAGGCCCGACCTAGGGACACAGTGGGGTTCTTTCTCCCCAGGTTGTGCTGGGGCTGCTGGATGAGCAAGGGCTTGGACATCCGTTCAGTTGCTCTTCCTTCC